CAGCCTTGTTAGATTTTTCTATCTGCCTTATTGACAAACATCAGGACATTTAATTTACTTTATTTAAATGTTAAACAAAATCATTTTTTAAGCTTAGCATTGAAGTTTTTTATGTTAATATTGTCTTATGTATGTTAATATAGATTGAGGTGGTTTGGACATCTGAGTAAAAATGTCTCATAGACGCCTCCATTTAGAGGTGTTCGGGGCATATCCCACTGGTACGAGGCCCTGGGGAAGACCCAGGAATCATTGGAGGGATTATATCTCCTCTCTGGCCTGGGAACACCTTGGGGTCCTCCAGGAGAAGCTGGAAATTCTTATTGGGGAGAGTTTCTCTCCTAGACCTGCTTCCTCTGCAACCTGGTGGCAGAACATGGATGGAGGGATGGATATATTAAAGTTTTCCATTAATTTTTTTTTCAATGCAGTAAATTGTTTAACAATTAACATTTACTAAAAAAAAACACTTAGTCTTTAGTTTCTGACATAGAAAAAATAGTGTTACTTTAACCTCTTCCTTGTTGTTCTTTTGGCTGCTACATTCAATAGAGCAAGTGAACTTGCATGAGAGATTTTGCATTTGTTTATAGCAGATGTCCTTGCTGATACAACCATAGATTTGAACTTGCAAACTTAGAATTTTCAAGACTGCAGCACTGACTTCCAATGCACCGTAGCCCCTTCTACTTCTTAGTGTAGAACATTTGTGTTTAATTTATTGTAGCATTTTATCTTTGTGCACACTTTTTTAGTTTTTTTTTTCTGAAGAGAACTTCAACGGAGGTTTTTAAAGCACATCAAGTTTTTACTTCCTGTATAACCCCACTTTCTCTGTATAAACTGTGAGCTTATCCGAAACATATGCCAGGCAAACCACAACATAACATGCTAGACTGGACTAGCTGGCGGTGGTCAGTCCATCTCTGTGTGTCATACTATTTTGAGGCCTTGTAGGTGTTTAGTTTTGCTGTGTCTGCACCCGGTAAGTTGGACTAAACATGCATTACATCATGGAAAAAGGTTTTCAGTGCCTGCTTTTAATTAGAATCTGATATCATTTCATTTCATAGTTTGGGTGTATGTGAAGGCAAGCAAAGATAAAAACAAATCTTCCAGTGATAGCGTGAAAGTTCAAGCTTAGACATAAAGTTAAAATTAATAACACTGGTCAGAGGTTATTAATGCCACAAGTATCCGTCTTTACAGAGATGTCTGATCCCAGTGTTACTGGCCAGGGAGGGTTACCGAGACCACTGAGACTCATGGTAACCAAGGTGACAAAATGCCTTTAAGATGATGTGGCTTTAATGTGTAAATTGCTGTTCCTCTGAAGTGATTATAGTGATAGATTCATGGCACCAGTCTTCTATCCTGAAGCTGTAATATCCCATCTTCATGTTGTGTTTTTGGGAGTTTCTAGGTCTCTCCTGGTGCTGCGTAGATATCTTTATATTCTGTTTGGGTCATGTTTTTCTGTCTATTCTGTTTTCTACATTGTCTATTATGTTATCTGAACTATAAAATCACAGTATTTGCTGTAGAACTGCTATACAAGGACATAGACTTCCAGCTAACTGATTTTGTAAATCTGCAGTTCTGCATCTTCATTTTCCTCTTGGTCTGGGTCAGACTCTGGCATTGTGTATAAGGCTGGATGGACAAGTTTTTTGTTGACGACATCTTTTAAGCTTTTGAGCTTTAACATCATGTCCTCATCAAACACGTACCCAGAGTGTTGTTTTGACTCATTCATGCATGTTTGAGAAATTCTTGAATCTCATGTGGAGCTGCCTAAATGCTTGCTGGTACAAAGCACCACCTATTTACCCAAAGCTCCTTTCTGGACCTCAGTCCACAACCAAGCTCCCATTTTACGTCTCTTATGGTGCGTTCACACAGAACGCGATTTCAGCTTCAAAATCACAGCCAACGCTGAAGTTTGAAGCTTGTGCACTTTGAGGTCAGACGCAGGACAGCTCTTGAAGCGCTGCACGACAAGAGCCTCCCCGCCCGTCCCTCCTCTGTCGGGCTCTGTCGGACGAGGAAGTGGCTTTACTTTATTTACAGAGAGCAAGAGCATGTCACATTCATCAGATAATTAATTCATAATTAATTCACCAGATAATTCAGAGTAGAGGCTCACAGCTCGCTTTCAGGACTATTTTTTCCAGTCTGATGAGTCGCTTCCACGCATTGGTGCTGATATCTCCTGTCAGGACACCGACTGCAGGCACTCGATTTCAGCTAAAGAGCTCCTCTCCGTCTGTTTCAGGTTAGTGGACATCATTCAGTAAACTGTCCCGTCGGGAAATATGTCGCTAGGTCACACAGTGGAGTCTCTCTGATTGGTTGATGCGGCGCGTCGAGCTGCAAAAGTTCAGATTTTCTAACTTCAGCGATTTGCGCCTCCGCACGTCGAACGCTCAGATCGTTCAAATAGTTCAAATCGCGTTGCTCTAATCGCACTTGAGGCGCCGCAGCACTTCCCTACATTGCTTGAAGCGCGTCCACCATAGACTTTGCATGTAAACCTGATGCTCCTGATGCTGAAATCGCGTTTGGTGTGAACGCACCATTAGCCTTTAGAATGTAAAACAAACAAACAAACAAATAAAAACAATAATTAAAGTTAAAGTTCCAATCATGAAATACTATTAGCTGAACATTTTGGTGTAAAGGGGGTGAGCAATATACATTCCTTGCCAAAGACATAGAGTTTAAAGTAGGGTTGGGCAATATTGGCAAAAAAAATAATCACCATTAAATGGTGTATTTAGCCAATAACGATTAATTTGACAATTAATCCCCTGGAGTCCCTGGACACACTTATGTCCTGGTCACATGACCAATTTAATGGGAAAGATTTGCTCTTCATCAAAATCTGTTCCGAATTGTGTCAAAATTACAGACTTCAGGCTATATTTCAAATTTTAATTTGTGTTGATGGATAAATAAATTACAGAACTTTTTTTTAAATGTTAGTCATATTTGAAGCGGAGAGGAGCACCAAGCGGACTCTGCCTTGTGGTATTAATCGTATTAATCGTCAAGTGCCAAAAAATTATCGATCAATGTTTTTCTGACAATTAATTGCACACAATATGATTATGCCCAACCCTAGTTTAAAGTAAATATGGACCATCAGGAAATCAGGGAATTATCTGAGTTCAAATATCTGGGGGTTATTTTTAGACTCCAAACTAAAGATGATTATCATGTTTAAAACATTTAGCATAAAAAATTTCAAAGATTATCAAGACTAATATAATCTGTTTCTGTTTGATAAGACCCTGTATATCTAAAGCAGCTCAAATGTATATGCATGCAATGGTATTATCACATATGTCTTACTGTTCTATCATCTGGGGCCAGGCCTCAAAATCTATCATAAAGCCATTAATGTCATTATACAAGCAAACCCTAAAAATATTTAATCAGAAACCAGTGAAGTGGCATCATTGCCAAATTATTTTAAAAAAATACCATTTGCTGAGTTTTGATAACTTTCTTACCTTTTTTGTGAAAGCAATATTTAAATGGACAATCATGGTTCTCAGTCAAAGCATCACATTTATGGAACACTTTACCTCAGGATCTAAAGTCACTGCCAGACATGAGACTTTTTACAACAAAACTGATTCACTGACTGAAAGAACAACACTGTGGACACTGAAATTTCATCTGGACACATATTTTTATGTATTTAATTTGTGTCATTGTAACTGCGCTGTACTCATTTTCTTAACTTTTATTTTGTTCAGATCAAAAAGCCTAACCAGGGACGAGGGCTGTAAACTAGCTTTTAGAAGGCTTGTGTATGCTGCATCTGTTGCCAATAGGTGTTAATGTTTTGTTGTACTATCCCTGAAAAAATAAAATAAAATGAAAAAATTTAAAGCTCAAATATATCAACATAAATGTCACAAGCTGTACATTGTCTGATCACTTGTTAAGCCATATAAACAGACTTTCATCTCTACATCCTCCTAATCCTCTATGAAATCATCATTTTATGACATTTCCTTTTGACAAGTCCCAACAAATGTAACATCAGATGGACTATCTCCTGTTTTAATATATATATTCCGTACTGCTTTGATACAATCATTTAGATTTTCTCTTTCCACTCAGTATACACAGCATTCCAGTATTTAATTACTGCAAATACAGTTTAGAAGTTTTGATTGTTAATATACAACTTTTCGTGCTGATGGCTGAATTTTGGCTTGTTTAGGGGAGATGTTTTGGGTAAATTAAGGTGTGTTAGAGGGAGACGGTATAATACTGTATGTGTGATGAAGGATTGAGTTGATTGAACCATGAGTTTTGGCTCAGCTGGAAAAGATTCAACAAACTTTACAGAAGCGAGAAGTCTTGGGGATTAGCTGATTGATGACATTCTGCTGAGGTGGGGGTGGGGGGGGGGGGACATAAACCTCACAGTCAAAAGTTGAGAAATAGCACCCTGACGGAAACTAAACATACAACATATCTTGAGCCAGAAGATGTTTTGAAGTTATGCATATTTTGTGTTCAATATAAATACCAAGAGAATTATGTGTTGATGTTTAGTTTTAGTGGCGATGCAGGCTAGGTTTGGACAGGCTGGGGAGGGTTACTTTTTTAAAATGCAGCTTAGGTTACAGTTTAACCAGCTGGCCTTTAATCCATGAACAAATGCCTAAAACTTTGTGGAGCCAGTGTGCTTGGAGTCTGACAAATATGAAGTGTAATAGTTAGAATTAAGCTAATTTATTATGAACCCTCACATAAAAATAAGGAGCAACACAAATGTAGTTTTTCTAATAAGTGACTTTTACATTGAAACTTACAAACACATCACCAAAACCAAAAAAAAGCACCTTCAATGTAACACGGGGGGTCCGTCTACAGCGGCTACAAATATATAGTTATCATGAAGTTCTTCAGGCTTGTCTGAGTGAGTGATGGAGGAGCTGTTAATGTTTACTCAGCAGGCTTGTGTTTTGTTGTCCCAGCTGGTCTGTCGGAGAGTGGGGGGAGTGCAGCCGGAGCTGCGGAGGAGGGGAGCAGGCACGGCTGGTCCGGTGTGTCCAGAAAACCAGCCAGATCAACACAGACGTCCTTGCTGACTCTGGCTGCGCCCAGTTAGCCCCTGTTAGACGGCAGGCCTGCAACACACACAGCTGTCCACCAGTTTGGACCACCGGGCCGTGGTCGCAGGTAAGCATGTCAAGCAGCAAGCAGCACATCCATGACAGCAGCAAATCATTTTATTCATTTAAGAACTGATTTAAGAACAGATTTCTGTTACAGCAAAACTGGAAAAACACTTAAGTTTCTCGTCTAGCCTCTGTGCATGTGTTGTTAAGTGGAACTTTGTTTTGATAGCTTCAACACATTTTATGACAGTGATCTCAGCAGCTCTAAACCATAAACGATCCCACCGAGACGTCTTGCTTTTTGTTCTGCTTTAGCTCCTTTACAATGTGTTTGGTCATTTGTCTCTGTTAAACTTTTGACACTGGTGTTTTACACCAAATATAGGTTTCTAGTTTACTTTTTCTCCTCAAACATTATTGCACAGTTCAGTGCATTGATGTCTTATAGACCTTATGTCCCATAACAGTGAAAGCCACAATGGATGACAGAATACAAAATGTCTACATTTTTATGTATATTTTATGTACGGACTGGAGTGGGAGTAAAAACATTATGTTTGCAAGATGTTTGTGAAGTTTAGACTTATGAAATTCCGGAGTGACATCATCAGCTGTGAGCTGAACACTCAGTAGAGAAATATTTTTTTAAAAATCAATGCTAAAGATATTAACATGCCTGTTCAGTCATGTAACATCAAGCAATCTGTGACTTGTTCAAATATTGAATGTTTCTACCATAAAAGCACAAGTTATATTTTTTCTACTTTTTTCCCAAGCCCATTGTTGTGTATAGAAAAAAAATCTCACATTTTTTTTGTGAATTTCAACCTCTTTCTATGATGTACCCTTACCAAATGACATAGTACACTATTCCACAGCTGTACATTTTGAAGCATGCTTTATTTAAAAACGCGAGGCATGGAAATGACAAAAGTTGGTGTGGCATCAGACTCCCAGGCAGGAGACCAGGGTTTGAATCCAGCATGGATCAGCACGGCGGATCACTGGTTAACCTCGGCGCCTCACAGCAAGAAGGTCCTGGGTTCGATCCCCGATTCGGACCTGGTGCTTTTCTGTGCGGAGTTTGCATGTTCTCCTCGTGCTTGCGTGGGTTTTCTTTGCTCCAGTTTCCCCAACCCCTAAAAAACATGTACAATAGGTTGCCTTCAGGCCCAGGCCTCCCTTGAAAAAGAGATCTGTGATCTTAACAGGACTTGCCTGGTTAAATAATGGTATATAAAAATAAATGGGACATTTATTTCATGGGCTTGTAACATCATACAGTGTTGGTTCTTAGGCAAGTTTATTAATGCCAACTGCCTACCTCATGATATATGATGAGTGTGAACAGAGAACTACCAGGTCAGACATTGCAAGGTCTGCCTCGTGTCGAGGAAACCAGGACACTAATGAGAAATGTCTCTCTGCATGCAGTGTCTTGCTAAAAAATATTTAATAACACTACAAAAGAACCTCGTGTCTCTCTTTATTTATTTATTTATTTATTTTTATTTGCAGTGTTCCCGTAAGTGTGGCAACGGTCTGAAGAAGAGAACTGTTCTGTGTACGAGTAGCGGCCCAGGTGTGCAGACTAGCACACTGCCAGACGGCGAGTGTTCAGGTGTGCAGAAACCTGCCGGTCAAGAATCCTGCTTCCTCAAACGCTGCCAGAAACAACGGAAGGTCCAGTGGTTCGTCTCCCGATGGCAACAGGTAAATTCAGTAATAAAGATGGTCAGCGATAGTGAAAATATAGGAAAAAGCTGTACACACGAATACTTACTCAATTTATTTCTTTCTGTCCTGTTCCTCATGTTCAGTGTTCAGCAACATGTGGTCGTGGCTATCAGGCCCGCCTCGTCAAGTGTGCAGAGAAGGTCTGTATCTGCTTTGTTTATGTTGTTGCAAAATTGTCAGAATTGTAGAGGAGAGTGACAGCTTTCTTGATGGCATTTGCTGCTTCTGACTGAATTTCCAACCTGCGTTTTAAAGGACACGGCAGGAAAATACAGGGAGCTCGCTGCCAAGAAGTGCTACCAAATTCCCAAGCCCACAGCGGAGCTCCAGAGGCCCTGCATCCTGGCTGAGTGTCCCACCCACACAACTCCCCCAGTCCATCAATGGAGGACGCCCCACTTCTCCTATCACTCTGCACCGCTCCCTCATACTTCACTTTCATCAAAGTGGAACTCATCTCCCTGGTCTCAGGTGAGTTAGAATAAAGCCGGATTTCACAGATGACCTATTTTAGGCTTGCATCACGTTTTGGTGATTGACAGGATTGTCTTCATCACTGCAACCTTGTTTCCTTGTACAGTGCTCAGTAACATGTGGAGGAGGAGTTCAGACCAGAACAGTCCAATGTCAAGTTCAGGGTAAACCTTCTTCTGGCTGCAGCTTGTATCTTAAACCTGCAACGTCTCAGGCCTGTAACACCAACTTCTGCCCGCAACCAGAAAAGAAAGGTACTTTAGTTCATATGACGTCTTCAAAGTAGTGACAAGCTTACACATATAGTTTACTTTACCTTTTCTGCTCTTCCACAGACCTCACTTGCAGGGACTACTTCAATTGGTGCTACCTGGTGCCCCAGCACGGAGTCTGTAACCACAAGTTCTACGGCAAGCAGTGCTGCCACTCGTGTTCAAATTCCAACCTGTAATCATTTGGAGTGACTGTCTGTGGCGCAGGCACATATGTAGCTAAGATGGTCAAACGACTATATTTGATAAGATGTGATTTTTGTCTTGAGCAAGTGAGCACTGAAAAAAGTACATTTCTACAGCTGTTCAAGAGTGTTGCGGTTTCTTTTCTCTGCATTGCCGAACATCTGGATTGGTGACTCTGATCAAACTGAAGGAATGTGATCAGAAAAGTGCAAGTAAAAAGGAGAATTATGGGAAAAAACTATGAAATCGCAAACTTGATTAAAACTAACAAGACTAGTGTGTCTAAACAGCAGCTAATAATGGCCATCCAGCTGTAGACGAGGGTTTATACACTGCCACACTCAGCTGTTATGCTCTGATATGCGCTGTACTTGTTGTAAGTCCGAGATCTGACAGTGAAAAGGGATGTTCCAAATGGGCAATGTATAAACTTGTCCAAAGTTTACCAACTAAAATCAGTCAAACTATAATTCCTGAAGTGCAGTAAAATACCAGATTGCTTAAAAAAAGTTAATCAACTTGACAGCTGTTTTGACAGAGGAAAGGGTTGTGTGAACAGATGTTCTCACACATTGGTGCTACAGTTTGTCTCTTTGATTTCACAGTGGGATACAGTATTTTAAGGAGTCAGGAAAGAACTAAAAAATTGTGTTACCGAATTGTTTGTTTTATTTATTTGCTTTACAAGGCAGCATTGCTGGACGGCTGTATTTATAAGCCACATAAAAACATCTTTTTTTAAACTAGCTGAATATTGTGTATTAAATTTCATTACATACTGACAAACACATCCATGTGATTTATTTAGATAGAAATGCAACTTTCAAGAGAAAGTCTTTAAGAGGAACCATTTGTGTATGTTATTTAAAAAGTCACTGGTCAGAATTTTGAAGTGCTATATTGTACGGAACCACAGAAGGGCCATCAGAGGATTTTTTTTCCTTTTGCGTTCTCACTCATTAATTTTCTAGTACCTTGATTTTTTTTTCTGTCTGCATTCTAACTGTAAAGTTTTGCAGTATTAACAAATCTGAAGAATCCTTGCAATGATGGTGTCTTTTTGTTAGCTTACACATGTGTTCATATGTTGCTCCTGATATGACACGTGTGCCTGTTGGCCAGCACAGACTGAATATCCTTATATTTAAGACCAGTTTCATGAATCTCAAAACACGGGTGTTGTGTCTGTTCCATTGTTGCTGTTTTTTGGTTTGGCAACTATCCCACAAAATAGTGGTTCCTGATACTCGCATTTTTTTATAAACATTTATACTTGTACAAAGTTCCCCAATACTCTGAACCAATACCAATGCAGTATTGACACTGGTATCTGTACTGTATTGAATGTGTTACAGTTTACTTTTCAATGCAAAACTTTTGTGTGGGAACACAAAAATAAAAATAAATAAGTAAAAAGTCTCTGATGTCCCCTCGTGGGTTCCGTAACATCATTATACAATGTTGTGTGTTAAAAATGCTCAAAAATGCATTAAATCTCACAAAAAACTCACAGGTGATTTTTTTTTTCTGTTGCATAATGACTTCCAACAACGTACAGTCACCCAAATAGCATTAACAATTGTGTGTCATTCTGTTTGGCTTAAGTGTGGCTGAATTTCCTCTATGAGGGGGAATAAACTTTTAAGCTGTAAATGGATACCTGCTAAATGGAAAAAGGCTTAGGATGGAAAGGTAATCTCCTCCGTTGAATTTCTTCTGATGATGTGTTTAACTGGGACGGATGCTGTCATCGTACCCTGACGAGTTTGCCTTTCAACGTGCGATCAGTGTCACTGTCATAGTTGTTCCACGTTTCTAATCCTCGTAGTCCAAACTGCTGCTTTGTCTTTCCGTGGTTTTCATTACTCAGCTTTGTAACTTTGTGATTTACCAGCTGTAATGTAAGTTTGCAAATTTAAACATGACTTAACTCAGTCTTTGTCTCATGTTATTATCTGTCTGCAACACACATGGTATAGTCTTCGTTTTGTACATTTTAAACTTATTTAATCCAAGTTTTAATATTTTTTTGTTTGATTTAAATTTTTTAATTGAGACTGAATCTGTGAATGGGAGTAAATCAGAACAGACTTATAA